AGGGGCTGTGTCTCAAGGGGTCATCTTCTCTGCTATTGGTGGACCAGTCAGACAGGAGAGCTCTAGGCCTACTCTGCCTGCAGACATCAACGATCTTGCCCCTCACACAGTCAGATGGCTTCCTTCAGTGCGCTGAGGTGTTTAACAACTCTGAAGACACTACCAGCCATGTCTTCCTTCTCTTTTCACGTAGACGCTCCGACAGACAGTGCTTTCAGTTTGCTGCATGCATGGACACAGAACTGCGGTATAGGGAGAAGCACACGGTCAGCTGGCTGCAGCTAAATCTGGAGTGCACTCGTATTCAATTCTGTATGGTAAATTCAGTTTTAACGGAGCAGAGCGAGCTGACAGGCAGAGTTAGAGACTTTTTCTGTCCGTTTCTCTCTTTACAAAGACGCATGTTGCAGTCAGAGTCTTCTCTGAGATGCGAGCACGACATACAACACAATTTATCAAATTACACAACGGATATACAGTATGAAAATAAGATTGATTGGATTATACTCACAGGAAGTATAAAACCTCTTACATAGGTCTATTAAAAGTAAAGTAACACAAAAATGTCAGGGAAATTACTTTACTTAGATTTAAGTACTGCAGTTGTACATTTGAAATACCTTCCTACCTTTCTGATAGGAAGCCTTCTTGAGGTGGTATAAAACATTTCTTCTTATATTCTGATTTGAGTTGTGGACAACTATGACCACATGAATTAAAAAAATTAAACATTTCACTGCCCAAGTCAGCTATAACACAAGTCTTGTTCATCAGACTACATGCTGTACAGTATTTGTGGACAGATGTTGTCCCAGGATTTATTATGCATTTCTTCTTCTTCGTTGCATGATTTAGAATAATAAGGTGAGAAATGGGTCTATTCTGAGTTCGTCCTGCACTGCAGCAGCTAATAAAGTCTATTTAATCCCAAAAACGCTTTTCTTTTAGGCAGGCTGGAGCAGAAAACAACTCACCTTTCTCAAGTTGTACAGTAATGTCACATGTGTATGAAGGTGGATCAAACAAGCTAATCTTAAATGTCAAAGTAGAGAGGAGCCTAGTAGGCCTATTTATTTTCATTCATTACACAATACGAATAAGCTATGCAGACAGTTGTAAAGAAAGAACATCTTTTTCTTCTGTTATCTACTTGTTATAGTTACACAGTATTAGGGGTGTGGGCTGTATTAAAAGTATCCACTGTTCTCCCATGCTCTAACACACAGTAACGATGAAATGTGTGCTGTTCTCACATTCTTCCTCTGTATGTACACATAAACAACAAAGCAGGGAAATATAAAAGGAATTTATTTTATTGTTTGGGTACATTATTGTTCAGTGTACATGCTCACATCTGAAACAAACTTTACGTGCTTGATAACTCTCATCTAGACATCTACACACCAATACCATACAATTTTTTTCATATCGGCAAGTGCTAACTAGTTCCACATAGTGGACACAGGAAGTGACATATAACACCTTCATGCGGCGTCGGAACCGCGTTGCAAATTCACAGCCGCACTGGCAGAGCTCGAGAGTATGCAACTCGGCCGGCTCACACCCAGACGCGCTACAAGTGCGAGGGCCCGCCCAGCGCTGCTTACACAATAATATCTATATCTATATCTATAGATAGATAGATAGATATCTATCTATATATATACATACACACCCTTACTTATAGGCCAAGGAAAACAAGTGCGTTTTTAAAAGTGACTTAAAAGAGGTCACAGAAGGGGCTATCCTAACTTCTGTGGGCAAATTGTTCCACAGGCGAGGCCGAACCACAGAAAATGCTCGATCCCCTCTGCGTTTAAGTCTGCAGTGAGGGACTAATAACAGATTCTTTTCACCTGATCTCAGACTTCTCGATAGAGTATATGGTTGAAGCAGTTCAGATAGGTAGCACGGTGCTTGGTTGCATAGAGATTTGTACACAAATAACAGTATTTTAAAATCAATTCTGAAATTAATGGGCAACCAATGGGTGATATGGTCACTTTTCCGACTATTTGAGAGCAATCTTGCGGCGGCATTTTGCACCAATTGCAGACGAGCAGTTTGAGTTTTCGAGATACCGCAGTAAAGTGAATTGCAGTAATCTACACGTGTGGTGATAAAAGCATGAACAGCCATCTCAAGAGTTTTAGGATTAAGAAAAAGTTTTATTTTTGACAACAGACGCAGTTGATAAAAACTAGAGCTTATTACGGAGGAGATTTGTTTATCAAAATTGAAAGACTCATCCAGTAGAACGCCCAGGTTCCGTACACTTGAAGATCTAAAAGCCGATAGTCTGCCTAGGTCGAAGGTGGCAGCCTGGGGATTAACAGTGGACCCGAAAACAATGATCTCTGTTTTGTTTTCATTTAAAAATAAAAAATTTTGGTCCAGCCAAAATTTTACTTCATCTAGACAACCTAATAATGATGAAAGGGTAGAGGGATCATTTCTCTTGAGTGGAACGTACATTTGAGTGTCGTCTACATAACAGTGAAAAGATACCCCATGTCTTCTTAGAATGGTGCCCAGTGGTAACATGTATAGGGAGAAAAGAGAAGGCCTAGAGATAAGATAGATCCTTGAGGAAGGCCACAGGTTAGATGCGCAACAGAAGAGGAGCAATTTCCTAACTTTACTCTGAAAGTACGACCCGAGAGATAAGACTGGAACCACTGGAGGACGATACCTTTTAGCCCCACATCATACTCTAGTCTGGATATCAGGATAGAGTGGTCGATCGTATCAAAAGCTGCTGATAGATCCAGAAGAACAAGAGCCACAGAGTCACCAGTGTCCGTGGAACGATAGATGTCATTTAAAACTCTCAACAGGGCAGATTCAGTACTGTGAGCAGACTTAAAACCAGATTGAAATTTTTCAGAAATATCATTGCATTTTAGAAAGAGCTGGAGTTGGTCAAAAACAACTTTTTCTAACACCTTCGAAACAAAAGGCAATACAGAGATAGGACGGAAGTTATTTAACACGGCAGGATCCAGTGAAGGCTTCTTGAGTAGCGGAGTGACAGTGGCCTCCTTAAGGGCAGCAGGGATGGAGCCGGTAAGGAGGCACTTATTAACAAAGGACACCAATCCTGGCCCTACTGAATCAACAATTAATTTAAGAAACTTAGGAGAGATGATGTCAAGAGAGCAGGACGAAGGTTTCATCTTGGCGATAATTTCTTTGAGTAGGTTCAGGGTGATTGGCTCAAAGGCATCCCAGGTAACAGAATTCATCAACTGACTAGAGTGTTCCGTGGGAGCGGCTGGCATTGCATCTCAAGTTAGATATTTTGTCAATAAAAAATCTCAAGAAACTTTCACATAGCTCATCCGAAGCACCATACATTGTATTTAGCGAAGGATTTAAAACCAAGTTTATAACAGAAAATAAAACCTTTGGTCTAAAGTGGTTTGCCATAATCATGTCAGAGAAGTACGTAGCTTTTGCCGACTTTACAGCATTCTGGTAGGTCGACAGACTGACTTTAAATAACTGAAGTGAAATGTGTAGCTTGTCCTTCTTCCATTTGCGCTCAGCCTTTCTGCTAGCTTGTCTTAGTCGCCGAATATCCACGTTGAGCCATGGTTCAGATTTCGGTTTAGGTTTGAAGGGCTTAAGCGGAGCAGATTCGTTTAGGGCATTTAGCCAAGTAGAATATAACAGACCAAGATGCTGGTCGGCATCTAAGTCCAATAGTGGTGAGTCCAGAAGCAAATGTGAGGAGGAATTCATAAAGTGCTCGTTAAAATTTGAGCCAAAATGAGGAGAGTAGGACCTAAACAGTCTTACATCTGCACTAGTGGGATGAGAAATGCAAGGAAGAGATGTAGAAAATAATATAGGCTTATGGTCCGAAAGCATAAAATCAGATATAACAACATCACTGATTACCATCCCATATGAAAGAACAAGGTCCAAAATGTGACCCTGAATGTGAGTGGAATCATTTATCCACTGGACTAGATTAAAAGATTCAATGAGGCTGAGGAAATCCTTTGACAGGGTGTTAGATGGACAACAAACGTGGATATTAAAATCACCCACCAATAGAAAACGGTCATAGGTTGTGGTGATATTACCAATGAATTCTGTAAATTGCTGAATCAAGTCCTGGAGTGAGTGTGGAGGACGGTAAATCACCCTTAATAAAATGGGGCCATTCCAGTCTAAATGAAGTAGCTGAGCTTCAAAACTAGAAAATGCACTGACAGGAACCGGCCGGCATCGCACAGAAAATGAGTTTTTAAAAATAGTCACATTCCCCGTCCGAACAGACGGGGGGGGTTAGATCACCAACCTTAGTCCAGGATTCAGTGATTAACATAAAATCCAAACTATGAGAGGAGAAGATGTCATGGGATTGCGTGGTGTGTGGACAGAGAGGACCCAAATGCAGCACTCTGAGGGAAGGAGGTTTATTGAGGGAAAAAAGGGTGAGAGGGACTGGAGTGGAGGGAGAGGAGGACGTCGGGGAAGCACAGGCACGGGGAACCAAGGAGACAGGGGGCCAGGGAGCCGGGGAACACAGGGGCCAAGGAAGCGAGGCGAGGCGGGGGAACAGGGAGGACGCCGTGAGGGAAGTCCGAGGAGGAGTGGGCCAGTGGATGAGCCCAGCCGAACGGAGGACGAGGGTGAGTGTACCTGGGAGGGAAACAGACAGGGAGACAAGGTTAGGGAAGACAGCGACAAGGCACGGGGTAAATGTGAAAAAACAAGAAACGTGAAAGCCTGAATGTGGGGGTGGCACCGGGTATGGAGCAACGACGATCAAGCGAGGATGGTGTGGAGAACCGGGGTTGAAATACAGGCAGTCATGAGGTGATTACTGGCAGGTGTGGCAGGCTGACGAGGTACCTGATGAGATGCAGGTGCAGGTAGTTGGCTGGGCTCAGGAGCAGAGGGAGAGAGAGAGCACACACGGGAGAAAACACAGGGAGGCAGGCAGAGAACAGAAAACCAAGGAAAAAAGCAGAAAAACTGATAAAAAGGAGAAAAAACCAGGACACTCACCGTCAGCCGGGCTGCCACCACAACAGAAGAAGTCGTTGAGCAGGAAGGTTTTGTTCACCAAGGATCGAGCGTTGATCAGAGCCATTTTAGGCGGATGAATCACATCGGGAAAAACTCCGGCTTTCTTCAAAGAACGTAGATTTCCAGGATTCACGCCGTTTTGCCGATGACATAGGCCAACCAGAGGTAAGCCAACCAAATGGACAGGAGAAGATCGCAGGGGAATGAAAGATTGAAGCCATCGATGAGCCAGCGCTCGCGGTCGCCGGGCAACATATCCGCCATAACACGACATATGATCCGGATTTAGATTGATCCTGAGTCTTTCAATATCTTTAAATCTGATGATGCGTCCACCCCGACTCCCGCGTTTCCTTCTGCGTTTTCTCCATGAAGTGACAGGAGGCCACTGGCGAATACATTCCAATGTATGCGTAGTGGTGCTTCTGTGTGTTTGATTAAAAACGTGCGCTACATCCTGCTTGTAAAAGTCCATAAAAGAGGTGCGAATGTAGACGTGAATGAAGACGTGTGCAACAATTAGAAGCCCAGATAGACATCCATAAATATATCCATAAACATAAATACGAGAGAGACCGACGGCCAGCCGAACACACAGGCGCCATCTTTGTTGACATTGTCCTTACCAGTTGGTGAAGACCAAAACAGCAACTATTTCTCTTATTTTCTAACTGGGTGCAACCTATTATTAATAACTCAAAATCTCAATCCTCAATATTCACATCTGGTGAAGGACCATATTAAAAAATACCTGTTTCAATATTATCACCTCACATCCACTTCATAATCGTTCGCTGTTCACTGTATGAGCACTAGCCAAAATCACAATATATACTACCAAAATATAATGCAAATGACACAATTAACATTTTTTTAAATCTCCTTTACATCAAATGAATTACTGAGTAAAATAGACCCAAGTTTCTAATTTAACTTAACTGCTTGTACATTTTTAAATATAAAGAACAATGTTGCAGAAATTAAAAACACGCAGTGCAAGTGCAACAGATTCACCATGAATAATGAAATAACATGTCTGACAAAACACAACTTATGTAGCTTCAGTATTAAACAGTAGCTTCACCAGCTAGAAAACATTGAGCAATTCAACACTCTTTGACATTTTTATATTCTGTCAATTGAGTTGTTAGATTAACTTTAGTTGAAGTCTACAACAGTAGGCTAATTGCACTGTTCATCACTCAATGCTAACTTTGTTAGCTGTAGGCCCATGCACTTGAACTCACAAGCTTAGTATACCTCGTGACGCAGCATTTAATTATGTATTTTTTTACTGCGACTCACCAATTACGGGATTTATCCCTCTCATTTGTTAGGTTTCAGTGAACAGGGCCTCACACACATCTACAGTCTTAAAACAAAGTACAGACTGTTATCACTCTTATTTGACATCTTATTATTGTGATTTTACTGTTTTATCTGAGCTACGTTTTTACCTTTCAGAAACAGGTCCTCTCCCCACAGTGCCACCCAGCGTCTGACTGGCACATGCAGTCTAGCCTGCTACGTTGCTGTAAACCTGCGCTCTGATTGGCTAAGACACTTCCGTGTTGTTAACCCTTTGTGACCTGGGTTACAGAAGACATTCAGTGCAATCCACATGCAGTGATGAGTTATTGTCAAGAGTAGCTTTTATGCATTAAACTCAGTGACTGTAGTGAAAACATTGGATTGGTTTGTTAGAAATTGTAACTTAGTAAACTGAGGAGATGTAGGCACTCTGACAAACAGGTAATCATACTGTAGTATTGTTTAGTAATTCAGAAGTGCTCTTCACTGGACATTCTGTATTCATATAATGGTATATGACATTTAAATAATAACTATATAAATAAAACAATATTAATACTGGTCTGCACTGTTTGCACATCGTTGCACATGTGTACTTTATGTACTCTTGTGTAGGTCTGTGTAGTCTTAGTCGGTTCTCATGTGGCTCTGTGTTGTGGTGTTCTATGTAGCACCATGGTCCTGGAAGAACACTCTTTCATTTCTGTGTGTACTACCTGTGTATGGATGAAATGACAAAAACAGTGCATATCTTTGAGAGGAATAACCAAATGCATTCTTTTGCTAAATGTATTTTTGTAGTTTTGTATTCTGAGAAGATAAGGTGTCTAGTTGGAGTGAGTCAAAGGCATCATCAGCTTGTTGTACATGTCAGTGAAACAGTGTTTGTGTTATCAGTATGCACATCCCCTGCCATTAGGTGTAGTTTTTTCAAATGTATCACACTGTGTTTCAAGGTCTCATTCCATAATTTATGACCTCCCCCCACCATGAGCACTGATTCAACAGGTGTCTCAGTATGTTGCATATACTATGGCCTACTGCGAATAAACACAGGGAAATGAACTGTATGCCTTTCACTGTTTTCATTTCATTTGTCTCATGCTGCTCTCCGGTGCACCATTATCAAACAGCCTTCTCCCTCTTTGAAATCATCTGAAACACCTGCATACCTCTGGATGACATACAGAACAATGGAAATTCACAATGTGTATGTGTCTAAGACTTGTGTTGGATCCCTGAGAAAAACACAGCCGGCCAGACATCGGCCAACCCGATCACGGCCCCGTCTAACGCCAGAACCATTTTCGACCAGACGTCTGCCTCTAGCACGCACTCATGGAAAGATACCTTTCCACCGAAAGGTTTTCCAGTTTACCCAGCCACCTCCAGCAGGCTGCTCATTCCCGATGCAGTGCCACGGCACCCGGACACGCAGACGACGTCACGACGACACCCACCGCAGTAACGCAAACTACTCCAGCCCTCACACAGGGCCAGGTCATAATAACCCCCCGTGCCAGCTCCCCTGTCGTCCAATGTTTCTAATTTGTTTTCCCTCTTCCCCTCATCCACGTCTCAGCAGGCTGTACTCCATACCCTTGCACGCACATCCCCTCATCACAACATCCTTTCCTCTTCACTTCCTTTGGCTGCTACTAACATAGCCATTCTTCCCGAACAGGTGGCTCATTCTCTTTCTCGTACAGCTACTGCCACTGGTGCCACCGCTACAGCTAGCCAAGGCGCTACGCCACATGGACCAACCCAATTTCCTCCTTTTCTTTCCTTGCCATCCGACCCCTCCTTTTCTTCATCCCTTCCCCCATCCTTTCCCCCATTCCCCATGTGTTTTTATGATGTGATTAGCTGTGTTTCCACAGTTAATCCAGGCTTCCTCATACCGCCCATCTACCTTTCACGCTAGCATTCGCTAACCCCCCATTTTACCCTCCCTCGGCCAGACGCCTCTCACCGGTCTCGCCTTCACTCAGGCAGCTGAGTCTATCAGGTGCTTTCATTGACCTCGCTCTCTTTTCCTACCTCCACAGGTCCTGCTGCCGGGCCGAGGGAGCTCTCTTCACCTCTAGGTTCCGCTCAGCTCGTACAGCTTATTCTCGCTCCAGAGAACTTACAGTCGTCAAGTTTGCATTTGCTTTTTCCCTCCGTCGTGAAACAATTGTTCAGTTTTCCCCCATCGTAGGGCGGACGACTATTGTCGACTACCTCCAGCAATTACTCAGGGCACTTGGAGAATGCCTATACAGGGGGTCAGGAGTTGGCACTACGGCCCTGGGTGCCCCATGTGCACCCCCCCCTCCTGCCATCATGCCAGTATCTCCGCTGCCCTGCCTAGTCAACACCAGAACCTGCCACCTCCATGACCCCAACCAGCACGGTTAACCAGATACCCCAGACTACGTCTATCGATGCCTTAAATACGCTGAAGACAGTTAAGCTGCTAGTTCGTTCACCTCCACTCCTGGTTTCAGCAGACACCTAGGCTATCCCAGATCAGAACCAGAAGGAGCTTTATTGCCTAGCAGTGTTTTACACATACGAGGATCGCTTTGGCAATAAGGTGCTACGTGTAGGCAACCTTACAGCCGACATAAAAATCTGTAGAGATATATACATGCGGAATAAACAACACCTTCCTCCCCTTTCCCAATCCACCACACCAGCCATCAGCATCAGCATCACCACCAGGACTCACTACGGCATAGACTCATCTCTCTTCCCCCCTGGCACCACTATGCCAAGCACCAATAGCCCCATCCTCAGTCCCATATTCCAGCACCATGCAACCCACCCACATGACACCAACCTCAGCCTTCTTGCCGGCCAACGCTCGTTTGGCCACTCCATTACCATTACCAGCACTTCCCTGGCATTGCCCATACACCCGGGTTTCCTTCTTTGAGCATTCTCAGATTGGTCTACTTCACTCAGTCTTCAGACATTATTTCTCTCCATACAACCACGTTCCAATAACATAAAGCTTCCAAAACATTGGAATATTGATTTATTTATTTTTTTTAAAAGTCAACATCCACATGACCAAAAGCACTCAGAATCAGAATCAGTTTTATTGCCAGGTATGTGTACACATATGATTGTACATTGCTTGCAATGTGCTTACTTATACAATAATAAAATAATAATAATAAAATAAAATCAGACACAAAGTACAGAGTAGACAACACTAACAAACACACTATGAATAAAACAATATAGACATATTGACAAATAGTGCAGTAATCAGAGTGCAAAGGATGCAAGAGTAAACTATTCTCATTATGTACATGTTGAAGGTACACATACACATACATGCATACATGTACACATGTACACAGTGTGATGGAGCATAGAGCAAAGGTTGCCCTGAGGTAGGTGTATTGGTATACAGTATATACAATATGACATAGTATGAACAGCACTGAAATAGAGAATGGTGAATAAATAAGTAATAAGTGGAAACCAGTAAACAGGTGCTGATTAGAGACAGAGTTACTGGGTTATTGCACAGGAATTGTTCCCGACACTGTGAGTCAGAAATCAGCTGTTCATCAGAGTGATGGCTTGTGGGAAGAAACTGTTCCTGAGTCTGTTGGTTTTGGCGTACAGTTCTCTGTAGCGCCTACCAGAGGGGAGGAGCTGGAACAGGTTGTGTCCGGGGTGAGATGGATCTGCAGGGATGTTTCCTGCCTGTTTCCTGACTCTGGAAACGTATAAGTCCTGAATGGAGGGCAGGTTGGCACCGATTATTTTTTCTGCAGTCCTGACTGTACGTTGTAGTCTGTCCTTGTCCTTTTTGGTGGCAGATCCAAACCAGACAGTGATGGAGGTGCAGAGAACAGACTGGATGATGGCTGTGTAGAACTGGATCAGCAGCTCCTTAGGCAGGTTGAGCTTCCTGAGCTGACGCAGGAAGTACATCCTCTGCTGGGCCTTCTTGATGATAGTGTCAGTGTTGGGCTCCCACTTCAGGTTCTGGGATATAGTGGATCCCAGAAACCTGAAGGATTCCAGAGCAGACACAGGGCTGTTGAGTATGGTGATGGAATGCCATGTGTCTGCAACCTCATAATTGTCTAGAAAGGACTGTATAGTTTTAGCTGTTAGAGACCGGGTGTTTGCCCTAAGAGAAGAGCGATCAAGGGAAGTATTCAGTGCACAATTGATGTCCCCTCCCATGATAAGCTGATGGGTGTTAAGATCAGGCAAAAGAGAAATCAGTTTGGAGATGAACTGGTGGTCATCCCAATTTGGTGCATATACATTGTGTGACTTTAGAGGAATACAGAACGCCGGACACAATTACAAATCTGCCCAATGGGTCCTCAAGTATAGTCGAAGGGCTGAACTGCACATTGTTTTGGATGAGGATGGCTACACCCCTGGCTCTACTCTGAAATTTTGAATGGAAGATTTGTGAGATCCAGGGCCTGTGAAGGCGATGATGTTGATTCACTTTAAGATGTGTTTCTTGTAGAAACAATACATCCGCATTAAAACTCTGAATACATTTAAATACCTTATTTCTTTTGATCGGTGAGTTAAGGCCTTTTACATTCCAGCTTAGGAAATTAACCTCTCCATCCTTGACTAGGGAAGTCTTCTTCACTTTACTTGCCATATGGAAAGAATATAGAGAGGATACAGCCTAAAAGCGATCTGGTATTTATAATAATAATAATAATAATAATAATCTTTATTTGTAGAGCACTTTTCAAAAACAAGTTACAAAGTGCTTTAACAAGTGTAAAGACAATAATACCCAAGAGACAATAATACAACAATAATACAAGATAAAAGCATGAAAACATTGAAAAGACTAAAATACAAGTTTAAGATAAATATAAAATTAGTAAAATACAATAAAATAAAAGGGATAAAATAAAGTCAAATAAGTTCGGGAAAGGCTCTCCTATAAAAGTATGTTTTAAGAAGGGACTTAAAAGAGTTCACTGACTCAGCTGACCTGATTTCCTCGGGCAGGCTGTTCCAGAGCCTCGGGGCCTTGACAGCAAACGCTCTGTCCCCTTTTGTTTTCAGTCGGGACTCTGGAACAGATAGCAGACCACTGCCCCAGGATCTCAAGGTACGTGCTGGTGTGTATGGGACTAAAAGTTCAGAAATATAACAAGGTGAGAGGCCATGAAGAGCTTTAAAAGTAATCAATAGAATTTTAAAGTCAATTCTAAAACATACTGGGAGCCAGTGTAATGAAGCTAAAATAGGAGTAATGTGGTCATATTTCTTTGTTCTGGTTAAAAGCCTGGCAGCTGAGTTCTGGACAGTCTGGACTCGATCAATAGATTTTTGGGTTAAACAGGTGAAAAGGCTGTTGCAGTCAACATAGATCGAATTTTAGCTATTTTTCTAAGTTGATAAAAACATGATTGAACAAGCTTTGTGGTGTGCTGCTCGAAATTTAAATTACTATCAAACCAAACACCAAGGTTCTTTGCCACAGGCTTAATGTGATTTACTAGCGAACTGCCATCTGCTGGGACCCGATGACCAGGATTTCTGTTTTGTCTGAGTTCAGCTGGAGGAAATTATTTGACATCCATTTTTTAACTTCACAAAGGCAGTTGTTAAGTGAACTCAGCATTCCAGGGTCTGTGGATCTGACGGGCAAGTATATTTGTGTGTCATCAGCATAAATATGAAAAGAAATGCCATGTTTATGGATAATATGTCCAAGGGGAAGCAGATACAAGGAAAACAAAATGGGTCCTAAGACCGACCCCTGAGGCCAGGAACGCAAAAAGCGTAACCCTGGAAGAGCAGCGCCCAGACCGACCATGGCGCGTACACAACATAGACCAGTGCCTAAAACTAACTATATACCTCAGTATCCAGAGGGGTCCAACAACTGGCCGACAGAGAAATGGGGAAGCATGAATCCAAGGCCAACGAAGCAAAACAGGGACGCAAACAGGTCCCTCCAAGCCAACGAGGAAATGCCTCCCCCGGACTCCAACTAAACGCCCAGCAGCCATTCAGAGACCCTGCCCAGGGAAAAAGCACAATGCATCAAGATGCATCGACAATCG